CAATTTCATCCAAACTTCACATGAATGTTCCTTTGGTGGTCACCTTTGAAAATTGTTCAAAGAATTTAATTCCATGCAGAACTCTGGTTGCCATGGCAACCAAAAGAAAAAACTTTAAATATCTTCTTCTAAAGAACCCAAAGACCTATAGCTAAGATATTTAGCTTGAAACATCCTCTAATAAAGTTTGTTCAAATAAAAGCCCTGGGGTCAAAATTAGCCCTGCCCCAGGGGGTCATTGATTTTCCCTATATGCATATAGTAAAAACTTAAAAAATCTTCTTTTAAAGAACCCAAAGAGCTAGAGCTAAGATATTTAGCATGTAACATGTTCTAATGGATGTCTACCAAGTTTGTTCAAATAAGAGCCCTGGAGTCAAAATTGGCCCGCCCCGGGGGTCATTGATTTCTTATATGTGTATAGCAAAAACTTAAAAATCTTCTTGTAAAGAACCCAAAGACCTAGAGCTAAGATATTTAGCCTGAAACATGTTCTAATGGGTGTCTACCAAGTTTGTTCAAATAAAAGCCCTGGGGTCAAAATTGGCCCCGCCCCAGGGGGTCATTGATTTTCCCTATATGCATATAGTAAAAACTTAAAAAATCTTCTTTTAAAGAACCCAAAGAGCTAGAGCTAAGATATTTAGCATGAAACATGTTCTAATGGATGTCTACCAAGTTTGTTCAAATAAGAGCCCTGGGGTCAAAATTGGCCCCGCCCCGGGGGTCATTGATTTTTCTTATATGTGTATAACAAAAACTTAAAAAATCTTCTTTGAAAAAAACAAATAGCTAGAGTTTAGATACTAAGCTTGAAACATCTTCTAGTATGTGTCTACCAAGTTTGTTGTAATAAAAGCCCTGGGGTCAAAATTGGCCCCGCTCCGGGGGTCATTCATTTTCCTTATACAGTGTAACTTCCGAAAACCGAACACCCATGGGACTTGTCAAAAAGTTCGGATTTCAGAGGTTTCCGGAATTCAGAGGTTTATGATAATGTGAACAAGAGTAAGCCACTTAATATCACTAAATGTCAAGGAAGATGTGGCCATTACTGTAATTTCATATATAATAGTCTTTTAATCAAGATAAAGATGTGAATGAAAAGAATACTTTTTTTATCTTACCTGCAAATGCTTTTGAATTTCTATCAGTTTGTAGAAATATTGTTAATTGCATAAACTTACATATCGTCCGTTGCTAGTTAATTAATTATCATATCAAATGCAATAAAATCCCTAAAGACGTTTGATGCATACATTGTCCCATTAATTGTCATTTAATCCGCTAATAAACACTTCAAATTAACTGACCGCCGTAAATTACTTTGATTAACCCATCACTTCAAACATACCATTTCACAGTTTGTGATTTTAACGTGTGTCAGATTACACGACCACCGCTAATTAGTAAACAATCGATAGGGAGATTAAATAAATCTTCCTGCAGGGTTTACAATGTATTTCACACCTTTGGATATTTCCGGTTTTTGGAGGTAAAATTGCATTTTTTACGAAAATATCATCCGGAATTCAGAATTTAGAAGTTCCGGAATTCAGAAGTATTATATTAATAGAAAATAGAAGGGAAAAAATCGGGACCGAAAAAAATGTTCGGTTTTTAGAAGTTTCCGGATTTCAGAAGTTCCGGAATTCGGAAGTTACACTGTATGTGTATAACAAAAACTTAAAAAATCTTCTTTGAAAAAACTCAAATAGCTAGAGTTTAGATATTAAGCACGAAGCATCTTCTAGTGAGTGTCTACAAAGTTTGTTCAAATAAAAGCTCTGGGGTCAAAATTGGCCCCGCCCCGGTGACATTGATTTTCCTTATATGTGTATAGCAAAAACTTAAAAATCTTCTTTGAAAAAATCCGAATAGCTAGAGTTTAGATATTAAGCATGAAACATTTTCTAGTAAGTGTCTACAAAGATTGTTCAAATAAAAGCCCTTGGGTCAAAATTGGCCCTGCCCCAGGTGTGTCATTGTTTTTAACTATATGTGTAAAGAAAAAACTTGACCAGCTAGACCTTAGATGTTTAGCATGAAACATCTTCTAATGGGTGTCTACCAAGTTTGTTCAAATAAAAGCCCTGGGGTTTAAACTGGCCCCGCTCTGGGGGCCTATATACAGGTGAGCGACTTCAGGGCCATCATGGCCCTCTTGTTAAGGTATCTACTTCAAACTTCAAATATTTATTTCTTATCATTAAAAAACACATGTTATGTGACAAGGTTCATAACTCTAGCGTGACTATTTCTAGAATTATTCCCCTTGATCTTGGAATTTATGTTAACAAATGTTATTTTTTTACTATAACTTGATACATAATTATACATAATAGATTTTTTATGCTCCCCGAAAAATTTTGGGGGAGCATATAGTCGGCGCCTTGTCCGTCTGTTCGAGCAACCAAATAGGGTTAGGGGGCCATATAACAGTAAACAGAACAAAAGACAACAATAGAGTTCAATCCGTAACAATAGAATCAGGGGCCATGGCCCTCTATTAAACAAAAGAAAATAACAAAAGAAATGGCCCTTTAGTCCATTTAAGTGACACGTCCGTCTGTCCATCTGTCCATCCGTTGTCTTGTCCGGATCATAACTTGAAAACCCTTGGAGATAATTTGTTTAAACTTCATACAGTGGTAGAGGGCATTAAGGGGGAGTGCAGTGTCAAATCAAAGCACAGAAGGCGCTGAATTTGTTTGGGTCTCAGAATGTCAGAAAGGTGAAGGTTGTGAGATTATAAACCAGTTTGTTTTTGTATAGTGCCACCAATGCTTTCCAGTGTTTTAACTGTAGATAATTGGCTATAAGACTAATTGCAACACTGATAGTCAATTCAATGTTTATTTGACTTAAATTTTTTTTTAAAAAATGAGTTGCCTCAACGGGGATTTGAACTCGAGACCTCTCGATTCATAAGCGAGCGTGCAAACCCCCCGGCCACGGTGAATTTATAAGTTAACGACCTGAAGAAAACCATATTATTCTAAATTAGGGTTTGTAACTCTTATTATTTCGACGCTAAACACAGATGTAAATAATCATGGAGCTTGCTGTAAGCATGTATATCTATAAAGAATGAAACAATATTAGAAATCTTCGACCATTCGGGAACTACTTTGCTTGAAAATTAATGCTCCTGTCATTTGACAATCTTTACGCATTGATCTACCCTGAATTTTTCGGCGTTAGTGTACATATAAAGGGAAGTAACCGCTTCAAAAAAGTGGACTACTTTAGGCATTTGCAATTAACAGCATTAGGCTCTGAAATTTCGCTACCATTATTTGTTTGGTCTGACGACCCAAACAAATAAAAACCATAACTCTATTTTCCTGGTTTTTGAATTATTTTTCCCATTTATAAAAATCTTGTCCGGACATAACTCTAAAACTATAAGAGATATCAACATGAAACTTTGTAGGTAAATAGACCTCAATGGGTAGATGTGCAGTGCACAAGAACCATAACTCTTTTTTGCCTAATTTTGGAGTTATTACCCTTTGTTAATTTTAACACTTTGAACTTTGTTAGGAACATAACTCTAAAACTGTAAGAGATATCAACATGAAACATTGTAGGTAGATAGATCTCATTGAGGGGGAGTGCAGTGTCAAAGAACCATAACTCTATTTTGCCCAGTTTTTGAATTATCTCCCGTTTTAGAAAAATCTTGTCAGGGACATAACTCTAAAACTATAAGATATATCAACATGAAACTTTGTAGGTAGACAGATCTCAATGGGTAGATGTGCAGTGCTTAAGTACTTGAACTCCGCCTTGCCAAATTTTGTAGTTATTGCACTTTGTTCATTTTTATATTTTGAACTTTGTCCCGGTCATAACTCAGAAACCATAAGAGGTATCAACAAGAAACTTTGTAGGTTGATAGATGGCATTGATTACAAGTGCAGTGCAAAGAACAGTAACTCTGCCTTGCCTAATTTTGGAATCATTGCACTTTGAACCTTTTCCAGGGACATAACTCTGAAACTACAAGAGGTGTACTTTCCTGTGTCCAAAACCTATTCGGGGAGCATCACCCGGCTCAAACCGGGTTCTTGTCTTTCATAGTTTTGTCCTTACTGCTTCCAGTATTTTATTAGTCGAGCTTCGCTGTCTCCTGTGACAGCTCTTGTTCTCATAAGGCCTTTGTATTTTTTTTACCAGTGTCTCATATTTAGAAGGAGCATAGCTCAGGAGGTCCTTTAAGTTTGGATGGAGTTTGGGGGTCGAGGTCTTGCATTGATATACATGTATATTTGATACATTTTTATTGTTATGTTGAATGTTTTCAACTTCAGTACATACGAATGACATGCCAACAATATTTTTCACAAAAACAAAACGTCATGACTCAAGTTATATAACTGTGTTTACAATTTTTTTGGCAATTTTTCTGGGTATAACAGAGTGAATGGGTAATTCCTTTATCATACCCCACAAACAGAAGTTTAGAGGGGGTATATAGGAGTCAGCTTGTTGGTCAGTCCGTCTGTCCTTTTCATGGTTTCTGGATGATAACTAGTGTTTGGAATGAGGTAATTTGTAATCAAACTTGGTATTTAGCAACCTAATGTGGAAACCCTGGTTGGTATTGCCTTTGGACCCCCTGAGGTCAAGGTCTCTGTTACTAAAAATAGAAAAATGGTTTTCGGATAATAACTATAGTTAGCAATGAGATATTGTGATCAAACTTGGTATATAGCAAGTTAATATGAAGATACTGGTTGGGATTACTTTTAATTGAAATTATTCTTTGTACACAGATGATACTTCATTTACTATAGGTTGAGATCAAATTTTTCTACAGACTACTTATTTTTCAAAAAGTCAAAGTTGCTGGTGGTGGTATTTATCACTTTCAGTGATAGTAGCTCTAGTTGAAAAATTGTTACTGACATGAATCTGGGCAGGAGGCATTTGTGTTCATGTTTTTCCATGAATAGTGAATATAATCATATTAGATAATAAAAGCTGAAAGTTACCTGTAACAAGTATGGCTTTATTTTCCACATGAACTTGCTCTTTTGGCAAACATCTCAAAAGATGAAATATCATTATCATGGATGTTGAATATCCAAGTATGTTAAAACTCCATATGAGTGATGTAACAGTAGTGAAGATAATAAGTAGTAGCTGCAATGTAGATGCTACTGTCCAGACATAGCTGTTTCTTGTCAGTTTAGTTATCAGTGTCAGTATTAACATTATATATACAGTTAATAAAATAGTGCTCAAACTTACACTGAAATTTCCAATTTCCATGTAAATAGCCTTTCCTAACTTTTCAATCTGTAATTTTATGTCATTAGAACTACCAGTTTCCATTGCAAATTTATGTTTAAATAGTTATTGTATCCTGTTTTATTTGTTTGTGTGATATTTTTGTTGTTGTTTTTCCAGCCTTTGTTATTGATATTTCCAATTTGATAATGAAATTTCCTACAATAAAAGAGTAATATTTCATAAAAAAATATGTATAAATTAAGCTTCACTATAGGTTATTATATTAAAAAAGCTTGATTATTACTTGAACTTAACGATAAAATGCAGTTAACCTTAAACATAATGATTAATAACCTTTTTATCTAATTCTTAATACATTTTATTTAAAATCTTCTAATTTGTCATATACATATAAAACATAAACTAGTAGATTGCAAAATTATAAAAAAAAAAAAAAGAAGAAATTTTGAATGTTATTAAAATCCAAATACCAGAATTTTTGCCGACTCCAAAGAGGTTAATCCGTGTAGTTGTATGTTTGAGCAAGGTTTCAGTGTTTATAAAATGTTCAGCTGGAGATAACAAGGTTGACTAAGTCAAATACTGATAATTTAATCAATAATTGTCTCCAAATGATTAAAAAGTTGCACTTAGTAATTAATGAAGTTTTAATAGGTTACTCCAATTGAATGGGTCATTTGATAGAATGACAGGTTTGTAAACCAGTCATTTAAAAGTTTAGAATGTGGTCTCATTAAGTGCAAGTCTTATCTATTTCATTTATTTTAGGCTATTCACTGTGTCAAGTTGTAACATTGAAACTAAGATCAGTGAAATATATGATCTTCAAAACAAATGCAGATTTCACTATTGTGAGCTTAAGAATAAAAACATTTAATACTAAATGAGCTTCAATAATTGTGACATACTTTGCTATAAACTTGACAGTAATTTATCAACATCAATGTTTAAGCTCACCTATCCATTACTCATGATTAGCTCAAGCTATAAGCATAGGTCAGGTGATACAGCATTTCTCTCATCTGTTGTCCTTTGACCGTCATCAGTAGTTAATACTGTTCAGGTCACAATTTTGATTGAATCTTCAAATGCTCAATTGCAATAAGGCTGCTAATGTCTAAACATTGATTATTTGTTTGCAATTAAATCATTTAATTTAATTGGTCATCTTTTGTTAAAAAATAAAGGTCTTACAGCCGAAATAAAATGGGATGGAGCGTTCATAAATCAGGTGAGCGATATAAGGGCCATCATGGCCCTCTTATTTTGAAAAATTGTTACTGACAAGAATCCAGGAGGGGGAAGGGCATTTTTGTGTTTGTGTTCTTGTTTGTTTATTGGATCATTACTGTAAGGAATCTTTACTGCTGTACTATCAGAGATTATTGCTGTCAGAATCAATACACTTAAAAACTTTTGAACGATAAAGCATTTCCTGACAATATTTTGTAAAGATAGTTCATACTGAACACTTACAGATGATTTTGTTTACACAGATATTTAACAAGCAACCATTTCAAGATATTGTTCTATGTAGTTGTTATGGTTCCCATGTCATCATTAGGAATGCTTTTACTTCTACCCTCAACATCTGTGCCATTGTTTAATCATTTAATCTGTCAATATGTCCTGTTAAAAAGAATTTTGTGTATGATTTTGCAGATCACTGGCTATAAGGGTTTTATTTAGTAGTTTGCTTTGTTGTCATATGTTGTTAATTTGATAGTTGTCTAATTTGATAGTATCTAGATATTTTGCAAAAATATGAAATGAATACATATTTTATTTTCAGGGAAACAATACCAATGTAGTCATTGCAACAGTACATTTGCTTCTGAAAGACTGCTAAGGGATCATATGAGATATCATGGTTTGTATATAGGTTTCAATTTAACTTATTTCATACATGATAATTAAGATAGATTTGGGATTGTAATATAAATCAGTTATATGAAATGTACAAAGACCGGAAGGTGTATGTCAGTCTGCCTTTCCTCACCTGAGTACAACATGCTCATGGTGAGCTATTGTGATCCCCCGTTGTCTGTTGTCATGCGTCATTAACAATTACTTTAAACAACATCTCCTCTGAAGCCAATGACTGCACAGTAACCAAACTTTACAGGAATGATCCCTGGGTGGTCCCATTCCAAAGTTGTTTAAATGGTTCCAGTCTGTTGCATAAGTAGGTCACAGGGCCAGAAAAGGAGCTTCAAAAATGCAAATGTCTGAAAGTACAATGCCCAGAGCTTTCATACTTGGTATCATCTGTAGGTCTTGTAACAACATTGTTGAAATTTTATTCTAATGTCAAAGTTAGCGTAGCCTCGAGTGTCATAGGTTTTCCATATATATATATATATATATATACGTGGGTTGTCCCAATATTCTGTGACAAGATTGTTAAAAAGCTAAATAAAACAGGTACGAATTTGATATTTTAAGATATTATAAACCCATATAATTTAAACATTTTCACAAATTTTCATAGAAAAATATCAACAAACAACAAAAATATGCCATAAACACCATGGCAACTTACTGAATCGCGGCGCACGTTCAACGTCAAAGACGGTGTTATATCTATATAAGGCACCTTTCTCAAATACTCTCAATGGCTTTCATCGCAGTAATGGTACCCATAAATCGTCAATTTCTGACTTAAATCATGTGGTTAATAATGTCTGCGTTGAATCCATGGATGGCATACATTAATTTTTGCTTCAGCGAACTTCGGTCTCGTTACACCTATTTTTAGCCGTAGGAAATAGGCGACGAAGATCGGTCTTCCTATCCGTGTTTTCCTTATTTTCGCTTTTTGTAGCGCAACACTCTGGTTCCGGTCATGCCTTTTGTACACAAGTGCTCAGGATATGTTGCTAAACTGTTCTATTTGGTATATTTGTTGAAAATCGTAACATGTGTCATCTCGAAATAGTCATGAAAACTGAGTGACCTGTTCACTGCGCCGCATATTCTGCGAATGTCGCCATTTTAACTTTCCTATTTTATATGAGATATTTTCATTTATTCGTATCTTTTTCGTTTCTTAAGTTATTTAACTTAAATTGTCAGAGATAATTTAAACATAGCAGCAGAGGAAGTCATTAGTGACTCTTTTAGAGAAGAAAAAGAAAAACTTCTTATTAAATTATTAAAACCACAGCTTAATGCTCACTGATAAAGTTTGTTTAACAAGTTATTTATATATAAGTACATCCTATTTATTACAATCTCTTCATTTTTAATTATGAAAGAAACGCTTGCATTTTATTCAGTCATATTGTTCGTTTATTAACCAATATTTATTCAGAAAAAATTGTTAATTATCATACAAATTGTGGCCATAAAATAATTATCATGTGAATTTTATTAACTCCCTTTACTGAAGATATGCGAAGAAAGCATTGAAAGCGCTACCGAATATACATAGAGTTTGTTATTTCTTGAACATTATTATTTGATCTATGTATATATATTTATATATATATATATATATATATATATATACAGTTGACTCTCAATAAGTCAAAATCGCTTTACTCAAAATTCCGCGTTAGTCGAAGAATTTCTAAAGTCCCGTCAGATTTCCTTCTTTATATATGTATTTTAACTCCGCTTAGGTCAAATTTTGACATATCGAGACTCCTGTTTAGTCGAAAAGAAAATTTGGTCCCGTCAATTAAAGCCCAACATATTTTCATCTCAATTAGTCGAAGTGTGAAAACAGCCGACTGATCAAAGGTCGGCGATATCAAGATGAGATGTTGTCACTCGTGATTTACACGTTTCATAGTAATTTTTAATTGCCGATCATCACGTATTATTAACACGTCGTATAAGTGGCTTAAATCCGTTTCAGCACTTAATTGGTTTTAACAGTTAGATAACTAAATTGAAATTTAATAACATTTTTAAGAAACTTGACTCGTGCCAGTCTGACTGGTGTTAGTCAAATAACAGCCTAGATATTGATGTGTGTTATCAACGTAAATGACATTTGTATAATTAATGTTCCATCGTTTTGCATACATTAATTTGTACTTCCGGTTCACGATAGTTGCTACTTTCGTTTTCGTCCGATGATCAATCAAATAAAATATAATTGTGTGTTTATATTTCACTATTAATATACATGAATAAATTTTGAATGATATATTTTTGTTCATATATAATTTGTAGTTGTAAGAGATTTACCGTCATTTCAACGGTTAAATATTGCAGCATTGCCGCTAACAACAATAACAATACCGTAACTACTTTGCACATTTCAGGCACATGTATATACATGTACGAATGTCAATGAAATGGTGGCAGTTCCACGTTACTCGAATTCCGTTTCTCTCGAAGTAAAATGCCCAGTCCCTTGGATTTCGAGTTACCGAGAGTCAACTGTATATATATATATGATAAAAAGTGGGGAACAAGAAAAATTATACTAAAAAATAACTGACATTAACTAGATTTTCTCAATTTAATTTTTGCCTACCGGTTTCGTTTCTATAATCATCAGGGCAAATAAACATAAAACCATAGTTACCATGTGATTTGACGTTATTTGTGTACACATATGTACGCAATGTAAAAAATGTTGACGTCATCAATTTTTGTTTAGTTTTGGTTTAAACACATCTCTTAAAATAAAGGAGTACATCAGTATTATAGAATTTGTAAAAAGGAAATATGGAAAATTTAGGAGTACTGTTACAACAAATATCTAAGTGCACTTAGATATTTGTTGTAACAGGCTGCAGTTTTGATTCAATTATGCTAGAAATTGCTCAGGAAAGTGGTTTTGATGATTCCTAGGTCAAGAACGAATATGGGTCATCTTAAGACACAGGAGCTAAAAATAGAAAAATCTTGCTAACACTAGAGCTACAGTTTTGATCCAAATATTCTGGAAATTGGTCAGGAAGGTTGTTTTGATGTTTTCTACATCAAGTTTTAATATGGGTCATCTCTGGTCAAAACTAGGTCACACAGCCCAAATACAGAAAAACCTTGTTATACACTCTACAGGCTACCGTTTCAGTCCAAATATCCTGAAAATTGGCCAGAAAAGTTGTTTTTATGATTTCTAGGTCAGATTTGAATATGGGTTATCTCGGGTCAAAAACTATGTCACAGGAGCTAAAAATAAAATCAAAGTGCTGCAGCACTGAATGCGACGGACATGCAACCGGAGAGACTTTAAGGCTTTTTTTTAGAGAAAAAAAAAACAACACAAAATATATAACAGAGAAAATTTGTTCCATACAAGTTCGAGATTTGTAGAGCAATATATTTTGTGTCCCAAACTGATATAATTCAGATTTTCTACTTTCAAGCATTTAAATACAGAATGAAATTTATGCCTAAAAACTCTGGTCAAACTTGTAAATCAGTGTCCTTATCGAATTATTCAAAGAAATGATATGTAAATAGAAAAAAACACTGTTAACGAAATATTTCTAAAATAAAACCATGCAAATTAATTAATAAACTTCAAGCATAATACATTATACATGTGAGAATGCTATTTAGAATTGCTTCGTGTTATATCATAGTGGGCATATAGACAATAAAATATAAGTCATTTGTATTTCTATTTCTCTTGGATATGTCTCATTAAAAATATTTTTGGTTAAAATCATCAGCAATTAATAGTGTATTTTTTAGATTTTTTTTTATTTACAAGGTAAAGATGTAGAGGCCAGAGCACATCGTTTTTATTTTTATTTAAATGTCACTTAAGCACGACAGTGTTTACTTGTCCTTTTCAATTTCACACTAAATTCCATTTTCAACTTGTTTGCTTCTTACAATTGTATAGAATTTCTAAAAGTATTGCATGTAATCCGCTGGTTTATTACATGTATAATGTGTACTCCCTAATCGCCTGTCCAAAAATCAGCACAGGTGAAGCAGAATCTATTTTTAGAAAAGAGAAGGTTAACTCATATTGTGACCTAGAAAAATATGTAAACAAACCATAAGAATCGGAAGTAGAACTGATATTATAACTTCCTTCAATAAAGATTACCATGAAAGACTACATGGTGGTAAAGTGTTGAAAAACTCTCTTGTTACATGCATTTTCAAAAATAGATATTTATACTAACCATTGTACTGTATCTAATTTATTAATAACTGCTGAATATTCAGCTAAACCTGCGGTATGAGTCACGAAAATAGTTCTTCTTTTATTAATGCGCGAGTTATTTTAGAGTCACAAAAAACTTTTGATTTGTTAATAATAATGTTTTGTATAATGTAGAAATATTTATTTCCTACTAATAATTTCTTGGAACTCAGAGCTTACACCTTTATTATAGTATAATTTGCTGTCCTACTTTTTTTCGACAGCGGTAAATCGTTTCGGCAGTAATTTGCATATTGCGCAATAATACTACGGGACTACAACGTTTTTATCAATCATATACGTTCATATTTTAACTTGGATAACTTAATTTGAAATTGAAAAGGCTAAATATGGAAGATTTTAAGAAATCCCGACAAAGTATGGGAGTTTTAAACGATCAAATTCATGTACTATTTCTTGGGCTGTTAATCGGTTGAGGACACTTTGCGCGATTGTAGCCGACGAAATCCCATGTGTAGATGACTTAGCTCTGAACGCGCCTGAGGGCGCGTCCGTCGCAAAAATCTTGTAAACACTCTAGGGGCTACTGTTTCAGTCCAAATATCCTGGAAATTGGTCAGAACCGTTGTTTTGATGATTTCTAGGTCAAGTTCCAATATGTGTCATCATGGGTCAAAAACTAGATCAC